CTCTATTGTTTAAACGGAGCGCGCCCATTCCCTCCCCCACCCCCCGGCTAGTTTTTTTTTCTTTTAAATATTTTTTAATTGGGACTCATGTGAGGATATTAGATCAATCAATCAAACCTTGAACATTTCTAGTTTTGGTGAAAAAATTAATGCTCAAGAGTTAAGATCATATTAAAAAATTACTGACCCTGCTTTTTTAGTATTACTGATATCTCCTCTATAGTTGCACTAATAGTCACCAAAATTTTATTGCATATATAGCTGATGTCTCGCTACAAAATAAGATTAAAATCATCTTAATTAGTTACTTTACTAACGAGGGCCAGCGAACGCAAAAAATGTTTCGAAAAACAGCTATTTTGCAATGCATGACAAAGATTGTTTCTTTTATAGCATAACAATGGTTTCTATTTGAACAGTGAAATTTTTACCAATAATATGACTTCACATAATCTATCAAATAGTTATAAAAATTCAAAGAAAAACTAATGTTTATTTGAACAGTGATTCAAACTTTTGAAAGAAGACGGCAGCGATTTGAGTAGAATATCGGAAGTTTTTAATATTGCACCTATTTCTACTCTTTCGACAAACTAGGTGTTTTGAAAACGATTTGATTTGTTAATATATATTTGCGTGCATAATTCTGGAACATCTGTCTGATCGAATTGTTTGATGAATGTGCGATTTTCAAATGGTCCAGAGTACAGATTTTCATGTTTTCTGTGAAATTGTTTCTTTACTAAAAACTATCGGATGTAAGGAAACAGTTCTGTGCCTTCTATTCTCTCAAAAAATCGTATACGGATCCATCAATATCTTATAAAAGTCTTCTTACTGTTTCCAGTTTTTTCCTTCATCGCATTACTGAATTATGCTAGGATATTTTTCGAATCTATTTCAAGTTTTCTGACATCTTACTATAAAACAAAAGGTAGAAAATTATTTCTCGATCTGATACCGAACAAACCAACAGAGTTTCTTTTACTTTATGTTTTCGAAAAGGTATTCAAATAAAATTATGAGAAATCCTAAATAACAATTTACACGACTAAAAGAATAAAAAAAAGAACTATTGTTTCATTATTTGCTATTTATCATCTTCTTAGCAATATGAACATTTCCACTTATCAATATTTACTTCAATTATTTTTTTGACTTTGACCAATACAATTCGGATGATATAATTCGTGACAAATACAGTATGTGTCATTAGATGTTGACCATTCTTTATAAATTTTACAGTCCAGAATATTATTATAAATAGCTTGATAATGTGATGAAGAATGTTAGATTTTAATAGCATCTCGATAATTGATATTGGTTTTTGCGAGTTTGAGATTGGGTAATTGCTTCTGAATGAATTGAATTAATATTAATGCGCGTAAAGCATGGGCACATGGATTAGTTGTTCGTGCACCACTTTTACAAGAACAATAAAATTTTGTATCTTCAGATTTTTCTGGATAAAATTTAAATATCAAACAATGCTTTACACCAGAAACAAATCTTGAGTTAATACCAACAACTTTAATACAATTTTCAATAGTTTGATGTTTATAAATTTTCGTATGATCGATAAAGTTGGTAAAATACCGTTTCGATAATTTCATAGCATAAAAACCTGTCGAAATAGATTTGATTTTTGATGGTGTATATCTTGGTAAATACTATGTATTTGTTACAAAATCAATAATTTCTTTTAGATTTTTTTGCAGTTAATTTCCAAGAATTATTTTGATTTTCATTCATTAGATGTTTTAATTCATTTTCAGAATCATCCATGTGTTCCAATATTACTTTAACATGTTCATTTTTATCTAATACATTTTTGTACAAAGGTTCATCGAACTTATTAATCGTAGATGCTAATATCGAAACTATTTTATCTAATTTGGTCACATACTGATGAAGCATTCTAGTTTTTAAAAATTTCCACTTTTTCAAGCGACCGATGGCATGTTCGACAACATTTCGATGAACTATAACAAAAAATACATTAAACAAAGATGCATAGTTTTGTTGCAAAAAAGTAATTTTTGAAAAAGAAATATACATGAAACTAATCGTGATCCGTTAGGCTGTTTTGTTGATAGTTGGGTTTTGCCTTTATCAATTGATGGTGGTATTTTCAGTTCGTATTGTCTTTTGTCCATTCTGGTGTAACCTCGGTCGATTATTAAAATACCATTATTTTTTAAATTCTTTTTGAAAAAAAGTTTGAGCCATATGATTGTAATAAATATTATCATGATCATCATTATCAGTTGCATAATTATTATTTGTTAATGAGCTTATGATGCTTTCTTCATTATTATGACCAGTTGCACAATAACCACCTTGTATTCCAACAAATGTGCCATCTAGAGTTGTGATACAGTGAAATTTAATACAATTACGTCAAGTTTCTGATGATCACGTTAATTTTTGTAACATAAAGTCACCAGATTTTTCAATGTATATGGGAAAGCCATCCATAGAGACTATAACATTGTTAACACCGACTTGCAATAATTCTTTTGCAAACATTGGTGTATATATATCGACTTTTTTTCTGTCCCATGTGGTGGGACCCATTTGATCCATAAATAAACTATTAAAAAGATCTTCAATAGACTGATTAAAGTGACGAGAAACAGATCGTTGAGAAATGCCAAATACTTCACTAAGAAGAAGATCACTATTATCAGTATTACACTTTGTGTAAAATAAGAAAATATTTTCCTCATTTAAATTATATTCTGTTGCTAATTGTTGCATCTGCTGTTTTGTTAATCCACTAAATGATTCACATTGTTCATTATTCAATAAATCATAAGATATACGATGAATATCTGAATGCAATGCATGTTTAAAATCTGTTGCTAAATATGATAAAGTTTCACAATACGTTGACAATTGTTCATTTGTTATTGATTTTGCTGGAATAAATAATTCTGTTAAATCTTTAACGTCACATGAATGGCATACGTAGTTGTGTTTGGAGTTTATTAATACTCTCTTATGTACAAATATAGAAGTTATTTTATGAGAAGCAAGCAATTTTTCTGCAACTATGAGTGAACCATCGATTCTTTTTTTTAAATACGATTGTATATATATTGATGGCATGATATGCACTGTGCTCGTGTTGAGCCAGTAGTAGCTGAAGGAATAAATATTTCAGTAAACGGCATTGATGTAATTGAATGAAGCAACAAAAATCAGTACATAACAATGATATTAATAAGAATCATGCTAGCTATATTCGACAGTTAAAAGAGAGAAAATATCGTCGAAAATGTCGATAAGAGAATTTTTGAAGAGAGAGATTATCGAAAAGAATATCACGTGGCATGTTAAAGAATCTAATGACCGTTGCTCACTGAAATTAATTAATGAAATGATCTTTTTTGTAGATAATTTTCTTATCCTCTCACATGGTATCTTTTTGCATTCAAATATCGTCTTTTTTCAAGAGTTTGAATCGCTGTGCAAATAAACATTAGTTTTTCTTTGAATTCTTATAATTATTTGATAGATTGTGTGAAGTTATATTATTGGTAAAAATTTCACTGTTCAAATAGAAACCATTGTTATGCTATAAAAGAAACAATCTTTGTCATGCAGTGCAAAATAGCTGTTTTTCGAAAAATTTTTTGCGTTCGCTGGCCCTCGTTAGTAAAGTAATTAATTAAGATGATTTTAATCTTATTTTGTAGCGAGACATTAGCTATATATGCAGTAAAATTTTGGTGACTATTAGTGAAACTATAGAGGAGATATCAATAATACTATAAAAGCAGGGTCAGTCATTTTTTAAAATGATCCTAACGATTGAGCATTAATTTTTTCACCAAAACTTGAAATGTTCAAGGTTTGATTGATTGATCTAATATCCTCACATGAGTCCCAATTAAAAAATATTTAAAAAGAAGAAAAAAAAACTAGCGGAGAGAGAGGATAGCCCATGGAAAATGCACCACTTCCTTTCGACGTATAAATAATAATTGATTTACTTTACTTGTTTGCAAACGTGTACAACGACTTGTTATTGTATTTACACTGTCCGAAAAAAGATGTTCTACAGATGTATTAGTTGCCGGAATACATAGTACGCGTTGAGCTATTGTAGCCAATGTAGGATAAACTAATTTATTATTATTCCAACATATTAAAATATTCATATCTTTGTCTATTTTCTTCTGATCTTCAATGTATCTGTCGAATTCAGTCTTTGTTTCTTTCTCATCGAGTAACTCATTTGGTGATGTTGATGGATCAAATATATCGTCTAATGAAGCGAATAATTATGTTTTGTTTTTGTGTTGAATTGGTTTTCTTTTATTATTATTATTTTTATTTGATGATAATCGTTGTTGTTCAGCTTGTTGATACTTGTCAAATTCCAATTTTAATAATTTTCTGCATGATATTTTTGTTGTGGTGTATAATTAAAACTCTTAAGATTTGAATACAGCATCGTTGCTGTATAATGAACATCATCAACAATCCAATAATCTTTTAATTGTTGTCCAATGCATTTTTTTATTGGTGATGTTAATTGGTTAGTATCATCTACCAAACTTAATAAATTAATCAAAAACTGTTTGTAAGGAATAACAAGATGCAATGTTGGTGTTTTCTTACAACTTAATTTTTCAATAACATCATAAAAGCTTTTCAAATATAAACACAATAATTCTATATCATCATGATCTATTTGTAAATAACTTCGTTTTTGTTCATCGCCTAGTATTGTTGGTAATTCATGATAAACTTTCAAAAAAGAATCAAACATCGAATATACGCCATTAAAACGTGTATCACAATAATTCTGTAAATATGTTGATAAAAGAGACTGCTTGTGACATTGACGTACTTTAGTAACAATAGATCGAACTATTCTAAACAATAATTGAGCAGCAACACATTGTATATCATTGTAGGTGAATGCATGTTCAAGTACTTTATTTACATAATGTGCGCTACATCCAATACGTTTAACATTATCTTTAAAAGCGTTCTTCATCTTATTTTTATTATTGGTGACGATAAAAACGTTTCCATTTAAATAAAGACCAAGTTCTTCCAACCACTTATTAACAAATGAACGTATATTAATTGCATGCTGTGTTTCATAATCATATGCTGGACATGCTAATGTAAATAAACGAATATGTCATTATGAATCAATATAATGTATACTCAAACCACCATAATGAATACTTTAAAGATAAAAGAAAATAGACACGCATAATTAGACTAATTTCAAAAGAGCACGACGAACTTACCGGTTGATTTTTCTGACCAAAAATCACAAGTGATACAATAATGTTGCACTATTGCACATAGAGAGATAAGTTGCTGCTTCAAGTGCAAATAATAAGGCTCCACATTACGACTAACCTATTGCAAAAAAGATAAAACATTTCGTACAATAAATGCAGATATAGTTAAAACTGAAACGAAAATTCAACGCTTACTGTACTTGGATGAGGTAATAATTCACTAGCACTAACAGATCTACCAAGAGTAGCACCAGCATTAATTAAATGTTTAGCTAAATTTGCAAATCCAGTTCCAGCTACACTTTCAAACGCTCAACCATCTACTGTACAGTACTCAAGACATGCTTCAGTGGTTCGCTTTTGTATTAGAGGACATTCAATTGATGATGAGGACTGTTGACCATAAGAAGAAATTGTTCGTTGTCGAAATGGGCTGTTCGTGACATGTTTGGTTCTTAAACAATGATGATGGCTCATAACTCTCGTTCCACTCTCACTTCTCCATTTTAAGACTGTTTTACATTTTAAACATAAAATATAATCTTGCACTATATTTTGATAATAGATTTGGGAGTAATTTGTCCAAAATTCACTCCTTACACTTGTAGGCTTTGCGAAAAAAAATTAAGGAACTATTCGATATTACTAAATTTTCAATAGCAGATTTTGATAACGGTGATTTCTTTGAAGTCATTCAGTAATTTAATTATTCTGGAGATTACACAAATATAAAAACCAAAATTCACCCAACATGAATATACAGAAGACTCACCAAACCAACCTATATTAAAATGAAATAAATAAAATTCAACAATAGGACATAAATAGAAAATTTCCCTACTTGAATATATAGTAATTTACAGAATATGAATACAAGTGAAATTCACCAAATTAATCTAGGTAAAATAAAAAAGTAATATACATTAAACTGATGAATAATGAATAGATAGAAAACTTACTATATTGAATATATATTAAAATTTCAGCTGTTTCAATATATAGTAATTCACCAAATATGAATATAGTCAAGATTCACCGAATTAATCTAGAAAAATCAAAATATGTAAGAGAGATAAAATGAAAGAGTTAAGCATATGTAGAAAACTCATCAAATGGAATGCATAGACTTTCACCTATCTTAATATATAAGGAATGACCGAAGTTGACTACAGGAAAGATTCACATAACTAATCTAGATTACACTCAACGAATTAATCGAAATAAAATTGACGAAAATGAACTTATTTTTATCCGGTAATCGCAGTTGTTTTATTCGTCAGATGAATGACCAATCCAAAATTTATCTTTCATTGTATGCTATTTACGCTGTTTCTTCTGTATGTCACATTGTAAGAAATGTGATATCGCAAGCAGATAATATTCGATAACGGGAGTTGTTTGAAATGAAGAAAGCGAAATATAAATAGAAGTTATGAAGGCCTTACGGGAACGGAAAGAAAGGTTTTTTTGCGGAAACAGAAAACGGGAACCGAAAAAGTTGTTCCCGCAGGACTCTATAACACATTCTATGTATAAAATTTTCTATTAGATTATTTTATATATATGTTTTTTGTAAGTAAGCAATCAAGATATGCATTCGCAATAACTTGAGTGACTTATCGTATTCTTCGTTCTTTTCGTTATTCCTATTAGCTATCGTTTGATTTATTTTATTTATCAATATTATTCTCTGATTAGAAATAAAAAAAAGAGCAATAGAAAGATTCTCGACTCAGATTCAAGATGAAAAAGAATTCTATCGGATAGTTCAAGAAAAAAAAACATAATCTAGAGAGAATAGAGGCAAGAATGTCCACTAATACATATAAGATTACATTTTTTCCAAGTGCATTTTACTGCGCCGACAATAATAAACATATAAATGAACGTCGTTCTTCTCTATCTCTCTCCTTGTTTCCCCTTGTATAAGTGGTCAGTGTTTTCTTAAATAAAAGCTCTTATTAACTTCCGAAAAAAAAGAAAATTTCCTTGACTTATTGACAAGCCTCAACAAATAGCCAGGCTTGATTCATTTTTCATCGTTTGTTTTCTCATTTTTTGTAGTAAAAGAATGGCTCATACCTGTACTATATTTAACACAAAAAAAAACGTCATTAAACGTGAAGACATTAGTAACTTAATAGAGACATTTTTTCGTATTATCTAAAAGCAAAGAAAAATGCGCTTATGTCATGTATATACGTTTTTGACAAAAAACATATATTGAACGTCAAACAGTATCATACCATAATAACTATTATATTTATATTCAATCACGTGGCAAGTTATGACCTTGATTCTCTTCTTTTTGTGCAAATCTATGTAAAATATTTCCAATTATATATTGAATATAATCAATTGTGTTTGACAAAAAAAATTCTCTTCCTTTGCGAAATATCAACTTTGTATTTTTGATGAATTTATATTCATTTTATTAATATTCAGTGTTACCAACTCTACTGCTTTTAGCAGAAAAATTCTGCTTTTTGAAGGTTTTTCTACTTTTTCAGATGCTTTAATTATTATATTTTTCAGTAGCATTTTTTATTAAGCTATATCAACTTTTTGAATAATGTGAACGGAAGTCTTTTTAAGTTTTATTGATGACATTGTGTCGTCTTTATTGTGTGATAAACTGAATTCTTATTTTTCACCCGTTGGAAAATGCTGCCAATCTATATTCAACATTCTTGCTCCGTTGTTTACCTATCTCTTTCTTTCTATTATACATTGAACTTGTTTTTTAATTCGTAATTATCACTATATAGTATAATTTATTTGTTTGTTTATTTATTGGAATAAGTCTATACAATGAGTATTTTCACAAAAGTAGAGAAAATGAATGTAGGTGATGATGATATTATTTTCGATGAAAACGAAGACCGTGCTGCATTAGCATTACCTGAAGCATTAGAAACTTCATCCTTCGTAGATAAACCAAGTAAAAATAAGTTACAGAGAAATGTTTCCAATAAAGCATGGTTAAACTTGGTCGAATATAAATCGTTTTTAAAAGAATATAAACCTGATGGTACGACCCGACCAACTATGTATGTTTCTTCTGTCGATTACTCAAGTACCTAACTTTAAGAAATTTATATGTTTCTTGTATTCATTGCCTTCTGGTAATTCATACGTTGAGTCGGAATTTTCATAAATGAAACATTTATTTAATGACAAAAGAAACCGCATGTCAGCAGGGGGTGGGTGTGGGTGAAGAGAAGACTTACACCCACCCTTCTTTGTAGTCTTGTCAATATTAATTCAAGAAAAATTTATTGTCAATGAAAATAAATTTTCACAAATAATTCTTTCTCTTAATAATATCGATTTTGTAGTTCAAAGATGATGTTTGAAAACAAGAACAAAAAGAAAATTTTTTAGGTTGAACAATTAAGAAGAATGATTAGCAAGTTGTTGCAGTGCTAATCGATCTCTATTAATATCTAATGTAGTTCTTGTACATAAACTAGTGACACCGTTTTCACTCAACCATATTTGCCAACGAAAACCAACAGACACTACACCAATACCACACATAGATCCTTGTTCCCAGGTTCGTACTTTGATTTGTGCACCAACTGATGTACCCTAAAAGATAATCAATAAGAAAATCATTAATTATTAAATAGAAAAAATTCAATATTATTCTACTTTGAATGCTTCTTCAACTTCGACTGTAAATTCATAACTATTATAAGGTAAAGTCGGTGGTATTTTATAAATGACACGTCCTATAAAAATAATCGGTGTTCGAGCAAAATCATCTTTCAACGTTGGTCTTTGCATACATGAACAAGAAATTGTCGATCCAATCAGTAGACTGAATAATAACCATGAAAACATCATCGTTAGTAATTAAACACTTTTTGATCTGAATATATACTATTACATATAAAACACAGATTAAGAAAATATTTTAAGTCTAAAATAAATAGTATTAGATGAGAACGAACATTTTATGGACTAAGGTGTGAAGTGAGAAAAACTTTCTGCATTAAATATTTTTTTTTTATTTCTTGGCGATTTGCAAATATACGAAATTATTCTTTCTTTCTTTTTCGAAAAAACGTAGTCAGAAGCACATATATATATATATTACGTTTCCCAAGCAGACTTTAAAAAGCATACGATGAGTGCAATGAGCGCTCGAAAATTTGAAATATATATACGTTTTTTTTTGTTCGTTCTGTTCTGATTTCGAGCAGTCGAAAACTGTATCATATCGGACAGCCATTTTCGACTCCTCAGGCACTTTTAGATCCCTCGATACTCATAGAAGTTTCGAGTACTCGACAAAAGAAACATATCGGAAGCAAATTATTAAGTGCTCCAGTAGAAGCAAGCCTATCAGATATAACAGTTTCAAGTGGCGAGGTTAATTTTGATTTCGTGAAATGTCTTCAAAAAGTGATTTACAAATGTCTCTTTCATTCGACTATCTTAGTAGGATGATTTATGTTCGACATATATTTTTCTTAATTTCATAATTTTAAAAAAAAATATTTAACATTAACTGATGGAACATAACAAGTAAGACTGGAATTCATTAGCGTTTTTGACGAAAAATACAGCCATAACGAAATTTGCGTTTTGAATGTTTGGAAAGTTTTTTTAATATTGATTTTATGCTCTACTTACACAAATCAATTATTTATCAAATAAGCTCCTTATGTGGCATCTGAGACTAAAACAAGCTTTTTCTATAGTTAAAAACACGAAAAAGGTGTTTTCATTCGATTAGAAAGTTTTGTTTTTTGATTTTCGAAAACTGTTTGCAAGTGTTAAAATAACAATCTTGAAAATACTATCCTTCTAAGAATTGAAAACATAACTTTCATAGAAGAACAATAGTTCATATTTAGTTTAGATGTTCGACAAATGTTAATTGTAAGTCCCCATGTTCGAATCTCCTCCTCGGCGTTTATTCGATAGGTTTTGACGACTCGAGAATGAGGCATCTATAGGAACAAAATTCTTTTTATTTTGATCAAATTTTGATCTCCTGGTAAAAATCGTTCGACAGATCGAAAACTTCATGTTTTACTAGCCTATTGGAAAGTGAGAATCAGAGGGATCCGTTTGCAACTTTGATGTCAACAGTAACCTTAAATCGACGGGTCGAAATGCCTATCAGACAGCTGGTTGGATAGGTGCTAAAGGCATTTTTCATGTAATAAAGTAATACAAAAATATTATAGCATTTAAGTTATAAATAATAGAAATAATAGTTTGCATGGAACCTCAACAAGATTTTGTAAAGCAAATTGAAAAAATATTGGTAAAAATTCAAACCAACCAACGAATATTCGATTAAGAAAATCTACAAAAAAGCATCGATTCAAAACTAGAACAAGCATTTTAATTTCAGTAAAATTGCTATATAATCTGATATTAATTCTGTGGCATAAATGCGTGTGCGTGGTAGTTCGGATGCAAGTGAAATTCAAGCTTTTTCTGTACAAAAAATAGAATTCTAGTGTTGTTTAGATATAATTACAATTGTATTAGAAGTAAATTGATGAAGTCGAAGTTCGTCAATATGGTAAACTAGAAAATATACTTTTACTATTGAACATTCAGTTGATTTCAGAAATATTACATTAATTGAAGCGTATCAAATGTATGCCTGTGAATCAATAAGGGGATGCACAAGCGACAGGAAACAGAGATGTTTTATAGAACGGCAATACGACTGTTGTACTCTAGAAGGTCACTCTCGTATCTTTTTCTCTCATAATATTGAAGAAGCTATCAGCGAGGACGAGATCTATATCTCGTTTTCACTACTTTTTCAATTAATTTTTTATTTATCGTAGTTCGAACCATAAGCCATACGAAATAAAATGTCGCAGAAGCATTTATCTAGGTAGTAGCAGTCATGGAGTCTCACAAAACAAAGTCGATGGAGAAAAAAAACAGTCGTTTTTTTCTCTTAGAGCTTTTGCCATTGTAAACTAGGATCGTTATAAAATAGGGAGCAATAAGTTAAAATAATATGTACTCTAACTTGTTTAATAGATACAATACTTTGGAAAATTCAAAAAGCAAATAATGTGTGCAATTAAAAATAAATGCGGAAACTTCGGATTTAAATCCGAGAGTTATGTGTACTTCAAAAAGTGAATCATAAAAATCAATCATCCTAGACTGTCTGAATATCAAAATTATACTGTGAAATCTACCANATCTTGTGAGTAGAGAACTGCGTGACCATGATTTTTAGTCACGGTCACGGTCACGGTCACGGTCACGAGCTCACAGTCACAGTCACAGTCACGGTCACGGTCACTGTCATGTCGTGACCGTGACCGTGACCGTGACCGTGACCATTTTGCAGATGACTACTTGAGAGTGTGGGTGTGAGTGTGCATATCCGGGCGTTAGCGAAGTCTTGACTCATACCGCACACTGACACTCACATCTTTTTTTTTATATCTTGTGCTTTATTTTGCATATTCGAAAGATTAGAACGAGAAGAAAAATGGATCTGTCAATCTTTCTTTTTTCTTAGAAAAGTTCCGTTGAATATCTTCTTGTTATCACATCTTTCTATCTAAGAACTCCTTACCTTTCAAGCTCAAAGGGCATTTTCCATGATATTATTCATTCAGTAAATGGTTCTCGTAATGCGAAATTATTGAGACAAAAGTTTTCTTCTTTCAATTTTCACCTTCTTCAAAGCATTCTTGTTGCATTAGCTCAACTATCTTACTAAAAAGAAGTCCTTCCCGTTTGAAAGATTGACACAATTCACAAGTTTTTCAACCATATTTTCATCAATCGACTATTATCGTCATTTTCTTCGTGTGTTTATGTGCATGTTGAAGAACATCTGATACTTTATAAGTAGTTTTTATTTTGAAACTCTTGGATGTTTCTCCGTAGAGTATAGGTGTGAATGAAAATGAAAAGAACACTCTTTTCTAAAAAGAAATATAAGGAACTTGCAGAAACAGCCAATGTATTCAATTAAACGAACAAAAGAATTTATGAGTCCGAATGAAGTAGATTGACACGATAGTTAAAATGCATGGTTGAAGAATGTCAATTTTGAAATATTCTATTTGAAATACGTAATTTTTGTTTTTCTTCCATCTTGAATAATATCTTCAATTGTTTTTTGATGATTTTCTTTTATTTCTTTATCGAATTGTTGACATAAGGCTTTTATTTGATCTCTATTTTCCCTATAGCATCTTTCACAAAGAGCAGTATAACCAAAAACACATTTACCACATGGTGTTGGATCTCCATCATCTAAATTCAAATAACTTAAATTCCAACCCCGTTGATATGACATCCAATGCGCATGTCCATCATGAAAATGAATAAAATAAAAGCTTGGTGACGTTGAGCAGCCAAAATTTTGTGAAAAATATTGATTTTGTCTTGGTAATCTTTCATAATAAATGTCTTTATGATCGTTCTTATTTGCCATTTAAGAAAGATTGAAAAAAAGATATCGGAAAGAGTTCAGAGTGAATTTTTTTTACGAATGATTAAGGATTAGTCATTTTAAAAACAGCTTTCAGAACAATCGGAATAACATTTAACTATAAAATAGGATAAAGCATCTGTAACTTTGCATGAAGACTCGATCTATACTAACCGCTACAGAAATTAAGTTGGACTCTATATTTGGAGGGTACGTTACCATAACAGTGTGTTTCTCAAAACAGTAATAATGACATATTCTGAAAGGCTGTGAAATTGCCTATTATTCTATGTATGTATATGTTCATTTGTATACTAATCTGCTACAAAAAAAAATCGAGTACAATGAAAGGAACCTCATCACTAGATTCTCAGACACTGAATTGAATCATTGTCATCTCAGATAGTTTTTTGAAGATTTTTACAACTTTAGAAATACTTTCAAAAATGGTCACTATATAATCTGATTGAGCTCGAAACTTTTTATCATCCTATATATTTATCTACCAACTTGCATTCAGTTATTGAAAATAATTCCACTACGTTGAAAATATCTTTCAGCAAATAAATATAAGGCACAACAAAAATATACAGGGTGATAGAGAATTTCGAGTTCTATTAAAATATATAGTGATCGATTTCGAAAGTATTTCTAAAGCTGAAAAAATCTTCAAAAACTATGTGGAATGACAATAATTCAATTCAGTGTGTGGAAATCTAGTGATGAGATTTCTTTCATTACACTCGATTCTTTTGTAGCAGATTAGTACAAATGAACATATACATGCATAGGATAATAGGCAATTTCACGATCTGTCAGAATATGTCATTATTATTTCTTTTAAGAAACATGCTGTTATGGTAACGATATCCTCCAAAAATAGACCAAACTTAATTTCTCTAGTTACAGTATCTATGTGTATCCCATGGAAAAAATTTCACCGAAAAATTAGATTAAAATCGATTTCTCTTACCACAATTTTTTACATTGGATCTACTTCATTTCAAGTTGGCTGAGGAGTATCAATCGTGCTTTTATCATTTTTTGTTTCAAGAAATATATATATGACAAGATATCTTCAAATCATGAGCTATGACTTGAATAACGAATTGAAAATAGTAATCCTGTTTTCCGTCATGTCGTCTGCTGTCTTCGATAGTTCCATCTTTTCAATACAAGTCCTGTACACGAAAACTAGACTAGTTAGTTAATCGAAGAAAAGTCAAATATTAAAATTAAAAAAATCAACAAAATAAAACTATGACTCATTCGATCACGACTCACCTGCAAAACACAATCCCGCATATAAAAATGAGTATCGCTTTTTTGTGACGAACTGTTCTTTATGTTA